CCATCACAAAGGAAAGATGTTTCAGTTTGTATTGATCAGCTTTTTAATAGCAAAGACAAAAATGTTCTCAAACGTACAGCTGTTTTATAAAAAAAGGTTTGTCCATGAGAAAAGAAATGGTAACCTTATGATCTATGATGAACTATGGTAACACAACATAGTATTGTTTTTGTTTTTTTCAATTTTCATGCAATGCACTTTGTATTAAATGTTTATGTCACACATGTATATGATGCCTATATATGTACAGTGGGCAACGGCCTGTAAGTACCTAATAAACATCTTATCTCATCTTATGGAATAAAAATGGTTAGCTTCAGGGAGTTTATTATGTCTTTGAAACTAATGTGGGGGAAGAAAATTGTGATGCAAAAGAGCAATATACATTCACTTTAAAACTTAGAGATAAAAAATAATATCATTATGGGGTACAAAATACTGAGGTAAAAGGAAAAATGAAATCCAATAATTATTTGTTTAAGAAAGATGTTATGGAATTATGGGCATATATTTTTTCAGAAAGAAACTCAGATTCAACATTTAATGCAGCTATAGAACCGTTTGCAACACTAATTGTCCCCCGCTTGAAAAGTGGGGGATATTAATTTGGGTTTGTCCGTCCGTCCGACCGTCCGTCTTTCTGTCGTTTCCACACGATATCTCGAGCACCCTTTGAGCTTTTGCAATGAAATTTTGCATAGCAAATCCTTATGGACCAAAGAAGAACCCTATTGATTTTGGGGTCAAAAGGTCAAAGGTCCAGGTCATAAATAAGCAAATTCTGTCTGTTATAACACTTTCGTTTCCACACGATATCTTTAGAACCATTTGAGCTATTGCAATGAAATTTTACATAACAACTCCTTGTGGCCTAATGAAGACCCCTATTGATTTTGAGGTCAAAAGGTCAAAGTTCAAGGTCGTAAATTTATACATTCTGTCTGTGTGTAACACCATCATTTCCAGGCGATATTTCAAGAAGATTTTGAGCTTATGCAATGTAATTTTATACATGTACCAAAACTCCCTAGGACCTCTCTCACCCCTCTCAAAGTGCCCCGTCCAGTTTGTTTTATTAGTATTTATTAGTATTTACATAGTATTACATGTCGCTATTTTTAGCACAGGGGCATGAAGAGAGTTATTGCATATAAAACAGGTTCTCGGCGGACTTTATGTTCTTATTACATCTATTAGAACTGTTTAATAAAGGCTAAATAAATCAAACACCATGGATAGTGTAAAATTTTGAGAATACCGAACATGAATATATTTATATAATAGTGTTGCATTATGCATGTACTATGTGAAATAGTACAGGGTTTGACACATGGTGCACGAGCCGGAGGCGAGTGCACTATGTGTCAAACCCTGCCTACTATTTAGGCATAGTACATGCATAATGCAACACTATTGTTATTATTATGCTGACTGTTGTAATTATTTATGCGGCAATCTATTTGACTTTTTCCTGAAAATATCGGTGCTTACACAGCGCACTTGCAAGAACTCATTCAAAATCTTCATGCTAAAATTGTTTGCATGCTTAGTTATTTTGGTTACTAGTATTTTCTCTAAAAACGTCGGGATTTCTGCTCCCAAAGCAACTCATCTTTATTTTCTGTTTTGTTAGTAAGCCTTATTTGTTTGCAGACGCCGATTCTCATTGATAATTTTCTTTTACATCCTTCAATCAAGCGTCATATAAAAAAGCGTTTTAATGACCCTATGAAATCAGTTCATCTAACGATCTGTATGTAATTAGTTTGAAAGTTTGTTGTACACATTAATCAAAAGTTCCTTAGAATAATATAACTGTTTTCAAATAATATTTGTCTATTTTCTCCTTCTTGTGTCAATTGTATAAATTAAGTTTATATATTTAATAAATTTCAACCAATTATTGATCGTCTCTGTGGCGTAATCGATAAGGAATCGGACTTATAATCTCATGGTCGTGAGTTCGATCCCCGGCGTGAGCACTGAAGAATTTTATTCAGTAAATAAAGCCGTGCACTAATTCGGCATAGTATGCTTACGCTATAAAATCCTTAGACCACTATGCGAGAATAGTAGGGTATGGGTTATATAGTGACAGACTGACAGGAAGCATAATAATCATGTATGTGACTATACTTGATATCGTGTAAAGCGATTTCATGGCCTATTGGTAAGCCTCTCGCTTCACATGTGAGAGGTCCCTGGATCGTATCTCGGTCGTTCCTTGTTTTTTTTTTTTTTTTTTTTTTTTTAATATATATAAATACTTTTCTTTTTCTTTTTTACTAAATGATAGTATTCAGCATGTGAAATGAAAAAATTATGAGGTTATAAAATCATCATTACAGTGTGATAAATATTCCATATACATGTAAAAAGAATCTTCTATACACATAATAAAGAATAAGCAATCAAATCTTTATATGCATATTGACATACATGTGCATTTTATTTGCTTCAGTATAGATCTACATGTATACATCTAATAATTCTACAAATTCAGTCAGCTAGGGGGATCCGACTTTTTCCCTATGCGGGGGACACGAATTGTTTCATATTAGATAGAAAGACTATTTCTATAGAAAATGGTACGAGAATAATATTTAAAAATGTGTGTTTTACATGAAAGTTCATTTCCTTGAATATAATGCAGTCTTGGCAGTTGTTAGAGAATGGATAAAAAAAAAAGACGCATCTTCAATTTGCGTGATCAATTGTCTTTCCACGAATTTCATTTAAAGTAGTCATAACAACAAATTTTTTTTATAAATGAAATTGTGGAAAGACACTATGCTGAATGGTTACATGTGTGAGAGACATTCGACATTTTGGACCCGCTTCAAATTGCATTTCAATTTGAATGTATAAATTTTAAAACAAATTATATAATGAGCCTTTTAGAAGGGCTTCTATTAAGTCCCTCCTTATATTGGATAAATATATTGAAAAACAAAAAAGTTGATTTTTTTCAAATCGCTTTAGGAAGCGACCGAAAGTATTGACGACCCAGCATTGATTTTGAATGGGGGACAGCCAGAGAACTTTTTTAACCTATCTGAAAAAGAAAAACTTCACACGTAAAAAAACAAAACAAAACAAAGAGGCCCGCGGGCCTTATAGGTCACCTGAGTATCCTGTAACAACTTTCCAACGATTGAATTTGGTTCGTGTTCTAAACCAGAGGCCATGAAATTCATAATTTGAAAGAAGCACCATTGCTTATCATAATTATACACTTAGCATGTTTACTCTGGTTACTTAATACCCAGAGGAAGATCAAAGTAACAGGGAGAAAATGCACTGGACCACTTTATAACCATCTCACAGGAACCACTGACCCTGGGGCCACATATTTCAAAATTTGGGAAATTTTTCCATAAATTTTATTTCATCATAAATGGTTGTTTAATACCAAAGAACAGATATCAAAGCATTATATAATTTATTTTCAGACTATGTAACCCCCCCCCCCATACCCCTCACCCAGGGGCCCTGAAATTAACCATTTTGCACGATGCCCCTTTCTTATATAAACTTAGATCATTGGCATAATACTCACTCTTGCTAAATATAACTATACACTTAGTTTATTTAATTCCCAGGAGCAACATGAACAAAGGAGAAGATTTTCAAAGATTTTTACATGTTTAATGCATTTTCACTATGTAATCAATAGAGCCCCGCCCTAACATCATAACCCCTAACCCTGGGGCCATAAAATTCACAATTTGGAAGAGGCACTCTTGCTCATTATCACTATGTACTTAGTTTATTTAATACCCAGGAGCAGAGAAGAAGATTTTTAAAGAAATATATAATGCATTTTTACTATATAATCTATCAAGCCGCACCGTAGCACTAAAACCCATGCAGACCCTGGGGCCATGAATTTCACAATTTTGGTAGAGAACTCAGTGCTGATTACAATGATTTAAACAGTTTGACTGTTTGATGTCCAGGAGTAAAGAAAAAAATTAAAGACTGAATTAATTTTAGTGGTTTTGGCCCCACCCCTCAGGCCCAAGGGGAGCGAGGACCATAAAATTCACAATTCTTGTTCCCCTTCACCCATAGATGCTGTATACCAAATTTGGTTGAAATTGGTTCAGTGATTTCAGAAAAGAAGTTGCAAATGTTCAAATGTTAACAGTCACGACGCACGAAGACGGATGAAAACGGATAGCAATAGGTCACCTGAATACATGTAGCTCAGGTGACCTAAAAAGGAAAATATCCAAACTCGAACCCCCGGTTCACCTTTTAATTCTCAGTACCAAATTTCAACTTTCTACATAATAATTATATTACTACATGACCCTTATCTAAACTTACTGTTACAAAAGTGTGGGTATGGGCAACCAGCCTTCAGTGAACATTTCACATGGTAAAAAGTTATGTTTGAAAAAAAAATGGGGGTTGGGGGGTTGGCAACTTTCCTGCATCACACGAAGAAGAGATTCTATAAAACACATTTTCTCTCTCCTTTGAAAGGTTTCTATTAAATCATAAAATTCTGACCCCCCCCCCCACTTAACAATATATTTGCCCCCTCTCCCTTCAACACCCCCACCCCCACCTTTTTTTCATAATTTCACAAAAGAAAAACAAGAGAGAGAGAGAGAGAGAAGGGGGGTAAATTCTTCCATAACTCCCAGGCCTGGGGATCATGAATTTTTTAAGTACCATTTTAAGATTTTAAATTTAAGATTTTAATCATAATGATTTATTAAAGTGTACTTTAGATGATTTTCAAAATTGTGAAAAGATCTTCCAATGTACTAGTATTTAATTCTAATAACAAATTATTATATATAAAGTCAGTATTATCAAAATACAAAAAAATACAAATATTTATTTGCACAAGCACAATTACAATAATTGGCAAAGGCACATCATATTATAAATATCATCAATTTCTCATTTATTATCTAAAGCGCCACTTCGTTTGGGTAGACATTGGCAAGTCACCGCTTTAAAGAACGTTAACTCTTCAACACAAACATGGCGGACCAAAAAAGATGAAAACGGAAGGTGGAAAACCCCTAAACCAGTTACGAGTAAATGGATAGCTGAGAATTAGAAACTCAGAATGGCACACTTCGGGAAAGATGTTGATAATTTTAGTGCTACAAGAACCATTAGAATTGTTGGAGTAGAAACTAATGAAAAATTCACGGTGAGGAAAGAAAAGGCCCTTCGAGATCTGTCAAGTGTTGTTGAACAATAGTCCTGGGTCGGAGTGTACTATATAATGGTTATAGCTTGGATATGATCATTTGAGATAGCTAATGATAGAGAGATAGCTATATGTTAAATTATCTACAGATTTTTGATTTTTTCAGTTTAGAGTTTTTTAGTTACGTAATAGTCAAAACGAAAATACCCCTGAGGAATAGTGGCTGTACATCATTCATGCTTCTCCAGAATATTTATTAAGATACAGTACAGTAAACACGTTTCAGACAACTATCTGCTTATTGTAGTACATTTACGAAAACTATTAAAATTGTATAGTGTAAATTTGATCCCATGGAAACCAATCTTTTTTCAAAGGTTTGGGTTGAATTTTAATTTTTAGGGATTGTTTTATAGGATATGATTGTGTAGGGGAAAAAAGACATAAAAAGTACCCTGAATGATTTTTGAAATAGGATTCCTGGTCTTCTTTGTTAAATTTTAATTTGCACTTCTTTTAATTACTATATATGCCGAAAAAATAATAAAATGGCCTAAATTAAAAGCCTAAAATATTATTTGTTTCACAAACCCACTCGCAATATACACTGTACAGCTGATTGGAATTTTTCCTCCCAAATTTGAGTTTGATCAATTTCCTGAAGCAATTTTAATAGAAATATTGATTGTAGCTTTACTTAAAATACAAAAAAATTAAGTAAGTCAACAGCACCTTTTGATCACAGCTAGGTCTCTGAATTTCTATCAATAAGCCATTATATGCTTGATTAGAGTGATATAGGCCTATATATATACCCCCTCTATTATAATATATAGATACATATTCTTTGCATGGGTAGCTCAGTGCTTAGAGCACCAGTCCTGCAGACTAGAGAAATGTAGTGATGCATGGGTCCCAGGTTCAATTCCCACTCTTTTCATACATTTTCTCCTTTGACCACCCATAGACTTACAGGTAAAAGTCCTGCAAAGGGCTAAAAGGTATTGGGTTGAGTCTTTGGTGGTGCATACATCTTAAGAAGATTTTTAAAAAGAGGGGAATGTAAATGATTTTGGCAGTAGATATCAGTCTGGGAGAAAAATATATGACTGGACTGAGAGTGAAATGCAAAAGACCTGCATCAGTATCACCAATCAGGTGTGCTACCAACTCACAGTTGTTTGCTAAGTGTACACATATATTTTTCAGACATACATTATAGAAGTTGCAGTAGGACACTACGTTTGGAGAGTGAAGCATCGTTACAATGATTTTCACGACCTACACGATCAGGTAGACCACATACTCTGTAAACTATTTATATAAATATTGACATTGTTTTGACTAAATAGAATTTCTAGCTGCCGTAGGAGTCTTTAACATTTCTGAATCAGTATAATTGTGCTTTTAGCTTGTATATTCCTGTAAAGTGGACAAGTGCCTGCTACCACCAAAGAAAATGTTTGGGAACCAGAGTGAATCCTTTATAAAGAAGCGACAGGCTGACTTAGAGGCTTATCTTCAGACCATGCTGTACTACCTCGCTCACAAAGTCCCATCTGCCCTCGCCACCTTCCTACAATTCGACAAATATGTGAGATATGATTCTGTTTACTTAAAGAAAGAGGATCTTTTGTCAGTATTCATGCAGTTCAGTTTCATCATTATTTTTATCAAATATATATTTTGTGTATAAATTACAAGTACATGTATAGATGGTTGTATTCGTGTAATTTGAAATATCACATACCCCTATTGATAAAAAAGAGTCCTTAAAATTAATTCAAGAATAAAAAAAAATGTTTCATATTTTCAGGAAATTCATGGTATTACACAATGCATGGCAGAAGAATTATACAACAGAGGTAGTTTTTTTTCATTTAGCTTTTCTCTGATTAAAAAATGCATGTACCGTCTTTGCGACAAATTAAATGCTTACAGCTGCAAATGATAATGAGAAATAAGTGAAATATTTTACTTGTAACTGTTACACTTTTTGCCGTGTTTGTGTATAACTTAATATTATAATAAACAGGTGAGATCCTGCTGCAGTCCCGGGACCCCTACGTCGTGACCCCCCTCCAGTTATACTCCCTGACCGAGAGACTGAAGCTCCCCGAACCCACGTGTGGTAAGCTGTACTCACAGAAAGCAGCAAGCTTTATAACATAAAATATAGCAGAACAAAGCTTAATAATGTACAATATAGCTCAAGAGAGTTCCAGAGGTCATTTGCTTGATTTTATAAAAAAAAAAATTGTAATCTGTGAATTTTTTCAATGCAGGGACTAATCTATGTCATAAAGTGTTAATCACTTTTAATTTACCAGAATTCAATTTTCCAGTAATTATGCGAGTCTGTCCTCTTGTGAAAATTACATTCTTCCATATATTAATATTAGTAAGGGTTATGCAAGGAAAACCATAACTCGTGAACATTTTGTCTCGTCTATAAATATACCTACTAACTATCTTGGGAAAATTAAGATGTGTCGAAAATAAAGTAATCCATTGTTTTTACTACAGCACTGAAATTAAGTATTTTTCACTAAGAGTGATTCCCCCTTAAATAGCTCAGTTGCCCATACCACATTGTTAACTGGGCAAGTTTTGCTTTTACATGTATATAGAATTATTTGCGTCATTGTAATATACATGTATAACTATTTACAATGCCAGTTTTGTTCACAGTAGAAAGAGAACAAATTTGTTTTAAATACATGCATGATGTTTCAGGACACAAAATTTTTGTGCCCTGAAACATCGTCACCCATTCTCAATATAAGGGCTCAAATAATGTCGCCTCATTTTCATTTAGAAGAAATACCACTGATGTAATTTTTAAATCAACATTATAAATAGTCATATAACAATGAATAAGAATTCATATAATTATCGATCTGAAAGGGTATTTAAGGAGTTCCAAATTCAAATATAGTAGCCTATTTGAAATGTACGTTACTGTCGCCGAGGCAAATATTATGCTGAATCCCCTCTGTGTAATATATAGTTTTGATTCTCAAGTAAAAATTTTCTGATAAGTTAAACCTTGTATCATGTATATTTCTTTTCATAACAATAAATACATTTTCTTTGTGATAATAAATCATTTTTATTGTGCAATGTCCCTGTCGCTGAATTCTATTTCAACCACATTACAAGCAAACACAAAGATTATACACCTGATAGATTTGTTCTCCTTTATTTATTGATGGGCTAAATTTGAAATTTCAAAGGATTAATTACTCCTACTTAGATAATGTAACATGAAATTGAACAATTTGAGCAACTTTTATAAATACGTTTACGGAATTAAAGACATTTTCAATCGTAGAGATAAGAAAGAAATGTACGTTACCTATATTCTTCCATTAAGAATAAATATTAAGTAGAAAATATGAGACGACTCTGAATAAGCAACCCCTTGTATCCTGTAAACTGGCAAAGACGTTTTGCTCAACCCAATTAAAAATTATTTTTTACATGAAAAGTGATCATTTGAAATGTACGTTACTGAAATGTACGTTACCATGAAATTAGAATTAAGGGAATCTCGCACGAATTTTCATGTATTCTCATACTTTCACACACTCGAATAGGTACACAAAGGAAAGTTTCAAAGGTTGGAGGTCGGCTAAATCCCAAAATTAATGAAAAGAAACGTTTCTGCCGAGGAAAAAAATATATAAAGGTCAATTACATGTAATATAATTTTGATACCTGGTATATATTTCTGAATACGAAACCTGTATGATGCATTTCTTATGATATGGAAGTTGAAATAGTATCAATATATTATACACCTATTTACTGGCTATGAGGACAATAGCAAGTTTATCGTCCCCCAAGACAGCAAACTATTTCCCGAGGCGCAGCCGAGGGAAATAGTTTGCTGTCGAGGGGGACGATAAACTTGCCATTGTCCGAATAGTCAGTAAATAGGTGTTTTATTATACCGATGCTGACTTTACTTTTGTTACGTCATAATATATACAATTCGTATAAAATCAGAAGTTTTCCGAGATGAAAAGCGAGGGAAATCGAATGCTGCCGTTGAATAGTTTGAGGACTATTCACCATGGGCAAATAGCACAAAAACTATGTCACGGTAGAGACTGTTTAGAAAACATAGCATGTTTATTCGTCTTATTTTTATATAGAAAAAATACACAGAGGTATAATAATGCGTGTCTAACGTACGCTTGTGGAAGAGAATTGATTTTTATATTTGAAATGTACGTTACGTATGGTAATGTACATTTTGCGTATTTCTAACTGACATTTTTTTTTATTTAGTCAATGAATTGCGTTTACACGAGCGAAACAAAATTATCGTTACAATCCATTTGACAACTGACAACATAAATCCATCTAAATGCACCCCCAATCCTCGTAAATGTGGTAGACTGTTACCACATGCTAGAAAATTTATTTTTAAGTGTCTTAAATTCATCTTTGGCAACCTTTTTGCATTTTGTTTACTTTTAATATGCGACTTTTCGTCAATATTAATTTAATTGTTGTTGATATTTTAAAACAAGGTATGCATAGGCTTATAATTGGTATAAAAAAAAATAAATAAAAAAAAATAAATAAATAAACCCAGAACACAAGACGGTCACGTACATTTCAAATACTGAAAGGCACACAATACTCAGTTTTGTTTGAATCATTGCATTTTGGGTTATATTTTTCCAGATCTGCTGAAAAGCACGTATGTTTGTGTTTTGACAAACGATGTTGCAACATACTAAATGAAATTGTTAACAAGACTGTCGATGGATATATTCGGAATAGATTTATGTTAAGTTTCAATGGCCAAACACGAGCATTTGTTAGATCATAGCAAAATACGTCTGACTCTTTTTTTTTGTCTGTACCCTTGCACACAAGTAGAAGTAACTAGGCTACGACCCGGACCGGTGTCAATTTCAGCGAAACAGCACAAAAGAATGGTAATGAACTGAGGTGGAGGGGACTCCCCAATAATATGTGAAATGTACGTTACCGAAGTGACGTGACATTCATGTAGTTGATGACAATAACCTCGTTTGTTATATTATGATTTCTTATATTACTGCGTTAAAACGCTTCATTGAAATGATTTTTATGTCAATAATTGCTTTTTTCGATATTTTCTTATTACTAATTTACATATCATTACAAGCTTGAAATGTACGTTACCTACTCATATTCTGAGGCAATCGTGTCTTTATATTGGTGATTGTGACATATAACACAATGTGATTACACAGAGAATCTTTTTTGGAATAAACTGAAACAAAACGATGAATTTTTAGATGAATTTTAAGCTTTTTATTAAACAGAAATATATCTTGAAATGTACGTTACATTTACGTAGTTTTCTAAATCGGCATGGATATATGTTAAAAAAGACAGTAACTACAAAATAGAATTTTACTACATGTACATGTTAAGTTCCAGTATCTATAGAAAAATGACAAGATTCCAAACTGATCGCTCTAAACAAACAGAGAGAAGAATTTAAAACATATATTTAAAAAAATATTTTTATACATCTGGGTCAAAAAGTAACCTTTGTTTTTTGAAAGGAAAAATCAAAAGCACGTTCGTATGCCGAGAAAATATGTTGCTGACAGAGTTGGTAGGATGTGCTGGTGTTAAGATGAGATATTCCAATTGTGATTTTAATGGCTACATTTTTTTTGACATATCTTTTTGGACATTGAAGAAAGAGTAACGTACATTTCAAGCTACATTTCTGAATAAAATCACCCTCTACTTTATCGTCTTGTCATTAATCCATGTTTTAATATTTGATGAAAAAAAATCTGGAAACAAAATCTTCACATACTTTCTTTCAAAGGTAATTGATAGAAAAATTGTTATCTTGAACTTCATTTTTTAAGAATTCAGAGAGGCATTTGTGCCTTTATATTGAGAATGGGTGCATGCAGCACAAAGAATCCTTAATTTCTCTCAAAAAATAGTTTCGTAAGAAACTGAAATAAGGCAAAAAAACCTTACTTAAAATATGAAAAATGATTGAGAAATGGACGCGGTGATGTCTGGAACTCTATTTTTTCTTTTGATTTTGGTAAATTAGTTAACACTTAGTGCTAAAAAAATGTATGCTTATTACCAAAGGTAATCATTTTTTCACCTTTTTAATTTTCATCATCACTAAGCTAATATTTGCAAAGTAAAACTGACATAATAAGAAATACACAATATGTATGTAAATCACTCTTTATCCGCGAGAACTTTATTTTCGCGTAATTACAAGAGAGAATGCATTCGCGAAAATTAAATTCTCGCGTATAAAAGTATTCCTTACGATTATATGGGGGAATAGCCACTATTCGTGAAAACTATGTCTCGCTTACAAAGAGTCAATGACGATGTCGTGAAAATAAGGTGTCGTGAAAATTTAGTGATCTACAGTATTGCAAGCATGAATATTAGTACATGTATATGTATTGTAGTTGTAAAGTGTTCATAATTATTATTTTATCTAGCATTTATACATTCTTTTGAATATTATTTTTATTATTTTATTTCATATGCATGGGTTGTGGTTGGTTTTTGTAGAAGGTATGTTGAATTTATTAAGCACTCAAAAATATATATTATATTTAATTTTAAAGTAAATGTAATCAAGTTTCTCACTTGGCACATGAAGCACACAGCCTTTCCCAACATTTAATGTACCGGTACATTTGTATTTATCAACAAAGCAATCATTTTGAATGCCTGTGGCTTGTTTTAAAAAAAGAGATAAATTTGATCAATAAGGGAAAGCTGTCAATCAGGTTTGAAAAATAGAATTATGATGTTTTTTAATACACTTGTTAAAAAAAAAAATACATATGTTCTTCGTATAAAAATCTTTGATTTTGTTAAAGACATGCATAAATGCTTGCTTTTGTCCATTGTTCATCTAACAAACATTATAATTCTCAATTAATCATATACATGTAAGTAATACTAATTGACAAGCCAGCATGATTGTAGTTTCTCTCATTCAAGTAGAAAGAGACTCTCATATATTGATATAAACATACCAGATGACCCTGTTAAACATTACTTTCTTGACTTTCACAGAACTTTTCATCTTCTGACCTTGAATTTGCTAATATGATCTTGATGATAGAATTAATCTTAAATTTGAGAATGTTTTTCTTTAACTACCTAAATAATCTATCATTTTTGTAGATTCCTTCATTTTGGTGGGATAGTGAGACTGAGAGAGAAGGGGGGGGGGGTAAAACAAGGAACATTTATGTAGATTATTGTATAAATTTAAATGAATATAAAAACGCTGCTTGAAGTCAAAATACATATTCATGATCCAGTGTGTACAGAAAGATCAATCACACTTCTATCCTATTGTTAATTTTGAAATTATATTTTCAAAATCAGTGAAAAGTATAGTACATGTATATTTTTTTAAATGCACTGTAATTGCTCTTGTCAACTTATTAAAATCTAGTATAAAGGAAAGAAAGAAAATATATTTCTGAACAATCCAATTAATCTGTCGATATTTATTTTTAATTATAGAGAGTGGTGATGTAAAGAAAGACATTGGACACATTCTGGATTTTATCACAAGAGTTAAATGCTTGAAGGTATTTTATGTACTTGTGTTACATTCTTGCTTTTAAATGAAGCATTAATAGATACATGTACCTGCATTATGATGTTCTACTGTATATTTTGTTTTTAAACAAGATATAATATTCCTCTCTGTCTTTTGTTTATACACGCATTAATTGATAATTTTATATTTTTTATTAGTTGAACTGATAAAGTGAATATTCTTTTCATCATTCTTTTATGGATAAATTATATGCAAGCATCGTGGATTAAATTACATTAATCTTATTGTATATGATATATACTACAGGTGGCAGGCAGTCGTGATAGAGTAGGTACCAGTAATATAGACATGACACAACTGAAGTTTGACCTCTCTCTCTTCAAGTCCTTACAATGTCTGGAGGTATTGTTCGTATAAAGAATGTTTTTTATCAGCAAAACGAAAATAATGATAGAATGTTAAGGATTTTAAAAAAGTTATTAATAGGTTATACATTGGCTTCATGGTAACATTTATTTTCAAACTCTGCATACATTGTACAATGTATTATGTATGTGTACATGAAGTCTTCGGTGCTGGTTGGACTTTCTATTATTGCATAAATAACTTTTTTTTTTAATTTTTCATGTGATGATAAAAGGAATGTGAATTTGATTTACAGACTGAATGCTGTCATGTTAGTAATATACTGGGAATAGAGACAATAAAGGAGACGCTGGAGAAAGTCAGTATACGACAGGGTCTGACCAATATAAGGGTAAGTACACAAAGGTCAATAGGTCATCTGATATTTGGATGAAATGCCATAGTAAACAATGTGTTATAAAAATTGTTGTTCTTGGAAAAATATTTGTATACCTGCAAGAATTCATTTGCATGTAAGAGCAGAACATATGTATATTTTTAATGAAAGGATAAATAATGTATGTTTTCGAGTGGCTCAAATACAAAAATTCAATCCTGCAAGTTTTCACACATTACAAATATTGCCATATGAGTAAGATCACACGACTCACATATATTTTGTCTGTGAATGTTTCTGTAGGACTTGGTGCTGAATGGCTTGAGGCAGTGGAAGGCGGAGGATGGTACGGTACTGGTCACACACTGGGATAATCTGGTGGAGGCTGACTTCAGCAGGAACTCCCTCAGTGAGATAGACGACAGTGTGGTGAGTACTGTAGAAGTACTTTTTTCCACTTGGTATTAATTTACGCTATGTACGCAGTCACAAATTTTCTGCAGAAATTTGTCCAAGCGTACTTTATATAAATGTAAGGCATATAGTGTCAGTCTAGAAAATCCGTGTAATTTTCTACCAGTGGATTAAACAGAAATTATGATCCCGCGGAATTATGACCCCGTGGCAAAAAGTACGTCTACAGTATATCAAGCTTAAGTTTATAAGCCTGTACGCTAGAGGTGTGGGATATTTCTATTTTATCCCATGTTTACCCCTATATCCCATGGATATAGCTCATTGGATATCATTTTCGTATCCCACAGTTGTGATGTCACAATGGATTTTGTGCTAGCGTAATGAAGTAAAATAAAGTGGAGTCCCATATATACAAAAACTATGTGAAACATTGATTGGAAGTTTTAAGGGGATACAAAAACACGCACAACTTGTCGGATAAAAATTATATCCAACTACAAATCATGAGAGATCCTATATACAGTGTAAAGCCATTAAATTAACAAAGTAAATAGATAGCTTGCTGATTCAGCTGTGACCAGAGACATGTTTTGACTACTGTCTGATTTCAGCAACTGATTCCCCGTGTGGAGGTACTGGACCTGAGCCACAACAGACTGACTGGTGTCCAGCATCTGAACTGGCTCAGTCAACTCACTCAACTCGATCTCTCAAACAACGAGATCACAGGGCTTGACTCGCTTCACACCAAGATAGGAAATCTCAAAATACTCAACCTCTCAGGGAACAGACTGGAGAGTCTTAGAGGTATTGAACTTATTTTAAGATCAAAGAATAAGTCTTTTGATTGCAGTAGTAAACAATTTCTTTTTCTTTTTACAACTTTACAGAAGTTGTTTTTTTTTAAAAGAAAATCATGAGATTCTGTGTCTTTGAAAAAGATTGTAAGGTTAAAAGATAAAAGGAAAAATTGATTTATTAGTCTGAATAAGATAACAAAATAATGTCAATTCAGTGATTTTGTATTTATGAGTAATTTAATTGTTCAATTTGGGTAGAGTATTATTTTTGTAAAAGTAGACAGTAGACTGTACACATATTTATACATTAATGTTGACCTTGCTTCACTATGTGTCTGTATTAGGTTTGTCCAAACTTTACTCCTTGGAAACACTGGATGTAAGAAACAACAAACTCTCACAGGTGGGTATTTTTTCATTTAAATGTACAGTACAAATTCAAAATTAAGTGAAAAAATTAAAGAAGAATATTTGCATTTTGAGATTTTGAAAGAGGGTGTGTGAGGAACTAAAGTGTTCATTTTAATGTAAACTAATGATACTTTTGTGCAAAAAATGAGGGAAGCTGTGTTAAAAATATTGATGAATGATAGATATAGAATAGTCATATTAATTTGTTACATTTCTTTGTATGTTTTGTTTTATTGTGCATATTTTGTGTTTAAGGTGGCTTGTTCTGTTTCATTTGTGTTTAAGGTGGCTTATTCTGTTTCATTTGTGTTTAAGGTGGCTTATTCTGTTTCATTTGTGTTTAAGGTGACTTATTCTGTTTCATTTGTGTTTAAGGTGACTTATTCTGTTTCATTTGTGTTAAGGTGACTTATTCTGTTTCATTTGTGTTAAGGTGACTTATTCTGTTTCCTTTTGTTTAAGGTGGCCGAGGTGCAGTATGTGTGTTGTCTCCCTTGTATTGAGAATCTTTATCTCCAAGGAAACCCAGTGAACCATGTCCTGGACTACAGAACTAAGATCCTGGAACAATGTGGGGACAGAGTCTTAGAGGTGAGGAATACTGTGTACAATAAACAAGCATTTTAATTCTCTATCAAGTTAGACACAGTATATGTTGTACAGAATAAAATAGTCAGCTTTTGCTATATAGCATCAGGACAATAGACTAAAAAGATCAGCAACAATATTTAATGACTCTAGTTTTATTTCTCCTTCAGGTGAGCTTAGACGACATGAAGCCAACACAGAAGGAACTGGATACAGTGGCAGTATTACAGGCCATCAGGAAGTCTAAAGAAAACAAGGCTAAAATAGGCACCACCAGAAAGGTACGAGGTCTATCCTGCAATCAGAAAAATATCTAAGTGATAGCTAGATTTGAACAAATTCTTAAATTATAAGTTCATGTGCTTTAACAGTTTTGTAAAGTTTTGTAAATTGTGTTAACAGTTGTCAGCGAGTGAGCTCCAGTCCAGCGGTTCTAGACATTCCAGTCTGTCTGGTACTGAAGACAAACTTCCTGCTACACCAGGTAAATAGCAGTTCTTTGTCAGCTTAATTTAAAAATGATTCTTTGAAAACTCCAAAAACACATGTAGGATGCAATGATAGAATAAACTTTTAGATTTTTTAACACTTGGACATGAAATTGCAATTAATAAATGTGTAAATCTTTACTTTTTAAGCTGAACTTCATTTAATATGAGTTTTAGTTTTTATTAATTGTTTGCTATTCCCTATTGATTTAGAGTTGGGCTGGAGCACACATGGATCTTTCAGTGCCACGCCCAACGTATCAGATGTAGATTCTCCCAACTCCTCGCGTACAGGATCTGATGCTAGTCAAGTCAAGGTAAAGATATCATTATAAACCATACCAGTAATCACGCATTGTACAGTATGTAGCTTTCTCATTACAAAAGGTTTGCCTAATGCATGTATCTTACTTACTTGTACCTAATGCAGAAATTCTTTAAATTCAAGCATGTCTGTTAGGATATGATGAAAGTTCTGTCTTTTTCATTTCATATGAATCTTTGATTGAAAATTACAAAATTCTCAATTGGATATAATATAGAATATAGGGAAGAAATGTTTAGAGCTTTTTGAAAAAAAAAATGATTCACAAATAAAAAAAAAAGATTCCAAGCTAAACTTATTGAAGTCGTAGTGTAGGACAGTAATTTCACAACTTGCTAATAATTTTTAACATCAAGAATTTTTTTTTTGAATGTATACATGATTCCCCACATGTTCCTTGCCCCCCTTTTTTTTTTATCCATGAATGATAAATCAGATGCCCCTCTCCACAAAATGAAATGTGTATCCTTTTATTTTTGGTGAAGGACTCTAGCGGCCATTCCAGTAGAACCAGTTTAACAGGAAGTGAAGGGGAACATAAGGGGTTGGTCTCAGTTTCTATCTTTTTTACTTCCTCAACAGTTTTTTCCCTTTCTTCCCTTAAATCTCCATTATGAAAGAATTAAATGTTGAAATTTCCTAGCAAAATAAAATAAATTATTTCTGAATTTTTTTCTGAGAAGCATATTAGTTAAAGATAAAAGTGAGCTTAAATTGCAACGTACCTGCCTGTGATTTGAATCGCTTCATCATTAATCATCTTTATATATATTGTACTGGTTTGCACTTTAATCATTTTGCACTGAATGTCATCAAGAATGTTATTTAACTTCTAAAAAATGAAAATAAAATTGAACTTCTCAAAATGCCTTTCTATGAAGTGAGAATGATTCTGTATAATTATGATGATCAACTCATTGTATGAAGCATTAGTTCCTTACATCTTTTATGCACTTATATTGTAGGGAACAGCGACCCAGATTCCGGACACTGTCCCGAGATGACCCTTCTACATCCCCCACCATAGCTATCAGCTCATTACCCACCCATCAGGACCCAGAATTCATGGCCTGGATTCAGGAAAGACTGTTCGGCAAAGACACTGAACCTGGTGCTATTGTGGAACAGGTTCTGAATGTTCTTTGGTGTGGTGTTATTCAGTTTACCCGACAGGAGTCCTTGGTTCCTTGCTGTGCTGTTCTGTCTCAGCGGAGGATCTTCATCTTACGACTGAAGCCAGGAGAGAGTGGGTACCCTGATGTGCCAGACATTGAGACCTTTTATATATTACCCCTTTGTAATGTACAGGAGATAGTGATAGGTCCCTGCTACAGCTATATCAGACTGGAGGAGTCCTTCGTTGGGGCCAGTGGTACGTTTGTACTGATAGCAGCAGACCCTGATGATGGGAAGTCTTTCTCAGACAGCATTACGTCAGCTTACAGTGGTGGGGATCTAGGCCCTCTCAATCTCTTAAACTGTTCACAAAATTCAGACTTAGCCTCCCACATATTTTCTTTGGAGGATTTGGAGGGACTTTGCACAGGGAGAATAGCTTATGGAATGTATATCACCATTGCTGGGGTGGAGCAACCAAGTCTCCTGATTCTGTCAGAGAACAAAGTTTACCTTGTCCATATAGACTGCCTTTTCTGGCCAAGGCCTTCTTTTCTAAGTGTGCTTGAAGACATAAAAAATCCTAACTTTACATTCCTTCAGCATCATTCCATCACAGCCAAAATGAGTGACATTAAGTTAAATGTGAAACTTAAGCTTTCCTCTAGATCAAAGAAAACATCCTCTGTGGACACTTCCCTTATACAATTTGAAAAATATGGTCTGTCCATCATATTCCATGAACTTGCAGGTCCTGTTGGTTTGCATCTTTACTTCTTTTCAACTAAAGCTAGAGATGGCTTTTTGGATCGATTGACCAATTTGAGAGCTGAGCATGCACATAGGTTGTCACCAACAATACGAGAGGAACCAGAAGGGGGAAATGAGTCTTCTGACAGTCTAGACAATACAAGCTCAACACAGCTTCCTATCAGTCCCCCAAAGGAGCCTCAGGACGAGGCTTTAGTGGAAGAAGAAAAGGTTGTTAATGTAAGAGAGGAAAACACACCAGACGCTATAGAACAAGAGTTCCTAGCTGGAGCAGTGACAGAAACTGATGAGCAATGTTCAAAAAGTCGCGCAGCTACCGTTTCTGGGGTAACACTTAAAGTGTCAACAGCAAAGGAAGAAGCAGTACCTGAAATAGATTATCTGACTGATGAACTCTGTGTGCAGCTGACCACATCCATCCAAAACTACTCTTTAGCAAAGAAGATGCCCTCTAAACTGAAAGTTCTGAGAAATATGACTGGAAAAGAACTAGTACAGTATTTCCATTCTGACATTGCAATGATTGGGGTGGATTATGAACAGCTTCATTTTGTCCTATGGTCTGTTGTCATTCCATATGATCGTCCTCATTCTGAAATAATTTCATGCGTGATGCTCAGCACTAAAGCTGTGTATTTTGTGTCCAACCAGCTGGTCAAGTCTCCCATGAAAGAGAGGCAGTCTTGGATGACCCACACTCGCCACAAGTCCGATTCCATTGTCCTCGGTCAGCAACCATTCCAGATGGACCCCCACCATACGTCAGGAATCATCCACAACAGTCAGAGGGGTACAATCATCCGACCATACCATATTCTGAAGTACTCAGACCTCCACCAGGTCAATGTGGGGCTGTTTGATCAGTGTGTAAGACTCACTGGTCATGACAGACACACAGTAAATACCCTAGTAACCCGTGATAGTGCTGTTACAGAAAAGTTCTTAAACCAGCTCACTACAATGCTGTCAATATTCACATCTTCACCCATGTTGGACAAGAGTTCATCTGACCTAGAACAGGATTTCTATAGGGCCTTTGAGAGGAGAACTAAGACTGTTGTTGACGGAATGGAATACGTACATCCAAGTAAAGTCCAGTTCATCTACCCAGGGGAAGACGTTATGTCTGATCTCTTGTATATAATTACTGAGCATCTCAAACTGCCTGTCACTTCCAAGAGAAAGGCTGACATTCTGATGTACTGGATTGGCTACTTAGCGACAGAGGAGCACCACGCGGGATCAGTAGACCATGTAGAATCCCGCAGTATGGTCCTGACCAATCAGTATCTCTGTTTTATTCTGGAAGACGTCATTAACTATCCCATTCCTGATTTTGCACGAGGACTTCCAAACTCACCCAGATACAAGGTGACCAATACAATGAAAATCAGTCATTTGAAGAGAGTACTTATGTTCAAAGACAACGAACACAAACTCAGCCTTATATTCTCGGATGAACCTGATGAAATCAATGTGGATACGTCTTCCGACCATTTCAGTTTGGAGAATAATTCTAGTGGTCGTCTGTCGCCCCCAGAAATAGAGACCACAATCCTTGTTCAGAGCCCCAGAGACATTAACAAGTTCATGCTTCTACTTAAAAACCAATGGAGGGAAGTTCAAGATGGCGAAGAACTTGAAGTTCATCTTCTGTGATAGCATTTCCTAGCACTCACTGGCTTGTTGTTAATTTGTGCAATAGTTGACATTCTTTATGAAAAGTTTTAGTGTTTACACCAAATATGTTTTTTTCTGCCAAATCTATATCACTGTTATAAATATGTACATGGTTTGTACTGGTCAGATATCATGTTATAATGATACTTGTTATTATGATGATTATGGTTGTATGAAATAATAAAAGTAAAAAATAAATTTATTGTTTATGTTGTTAGTGTGTGGACTATATATGAATACAAACAGATGTACTTTTAAAGCTTAAATTATGGATTGCAAACTGTTGTTGAGGATAAAGAAAAGAAACTATATTTCAGAAATATCTTATACTATTAGATTTATTGTTTATATATATTACATGTATATAACTTTTAAAAAAATCTACGAGTCCGCATGGTTGTTTGGAAAGTTCGAGGACATTTTCAATCTTTGTCATACTAGTACATTCAAGAAAATAAAAATGAGCACATTATCATATGTAAAAGAACATGAATTGATTTTGTTGAAGAGTGAAGTTTTATTCCATTCGGTTTAATATATAGAAATCAGTCAACCCCGGTGCAGCATTATACACTGTACAGAACGTCCAGGCACGTAGCAACAGGGGGGCCCACTTTTCTTAATTCCCAACATAACTTTTACTATTGAAAATGTCCATTGAAAGGTTGGTTGCTCCCCCTCCCCCACTTCTTACCACAGTACAGTGATATCAAGGAAATGAAGTATTGTATGCCCAAAAAATTGGATGTGAAAGGAAGTTGGCCTTGAAAAAAATCGGCCACTTGAATTGACGTTCTATGGTACGTGTCACCCTTTTTGCCTAAAATTATATAGTTTTTTGTTTGTAAATACATGTATTGCAAATTTTATCCTGCTCTAGATCTGCGACCCAATTTGTTCAATTATTTTTTACTCCGAATAAATTTTAAAAAATATATTTATATAGTTAAAGTTGAAAATAAAAATCATTTGAATTTATTGTAAAAGCCTTTCTACCAAATCTGGATATGATATGACGTAATGTTGTAAAAGATACCTCAATGACAGAAGCCCACGAACTTTCCGAGCAACTCTCGTATATAAAATGTCATAAAGATATGTAAAGACTGATTTATATAGAGAATGGCATTATTTTTATTTGAGCAACAAAGAACACGAAGAAGTGTTACGATTTCTGGATATTCTAGGGACAGACCTTACAGTGTACATGTATGATTATATGTCATTTCTATTCAGGATCTTCCCAAAACAAGATACAATTCAATATCTAGTCACAGGTAATATACTACCGCATATTTGAGTTCATCTCACAATATGCGCCTTTATCAAAGCTCTATCCTTGTATTATATGTCATCATTCACCTCCTTTTTGTGGAAAAAAACAAATAAATGTGATAAGCCGGAATTTATTTATCCATCCATACAGAGTCGGTACTTAGTCACTAGGTTTACGGGTTATCTCCCCTTTTCTATGAATCAATGAAAGTGAAAGGTGGGTGATGAAAGTATCCAATTTATTTTTTTGTATTATGAAATACCCTCCCACCTCACCCCTTGAGCTAGGCGTTAAGTATATACCCTTTCTCCTTTTGTTTGTTTAAATCACGTTTTTCATTGCTTTGCATGGTTTTGCTTTACCAAATTTATTAAAGTTATGCAAATGTTATTGAGAATCTTTTTCTGCTGTGGGTTTTTGTTTTTGTCTTTTCAGATATTTAAAGATTTTTTTGAAGGAGACTGACGATGCTGATCAGAATTGCCTGCTATTTCCGTATTCTGGGACCTTTGCAGTTTGGAATGATCTCTAGCCGAATGCGATGCGTGACATGGGTCAACTTGGCGAATTATCCATGCGAGGAGTTCGGGGAAAGACAGTAGACTATACTTCACAGTGGTCGTATTGGCGAAATCGTCACCTTCAATTTAACCATTGAACTGTTGATTTTGTTTTGCTTAACTGCGGGACTGAATATCGCGCATGCGCATAGGAACCCTGGGGTGGCAAAAAGAAAAACTTATCATGGTCGAAAAGTGTTGTGTCGTTGGGTGTACCAAAAGAGCTACGAAGGGTTGCAAGGTTTTTTTTCTTTAAGTTTCCCCTAAGTAAAACAAAAAGGCGAGCATGGGTTAATGCTGTTAATAGGAAGGGATGGTTACCAAACAAAAACAGTAGGATATGTAGTGAGCATTTTGAGACGGGTTGGCACTCGGACGATCGTGACGACCCCAACTACATACCGACTCTATTTTCCTACAAATGTACACCTGAAGAGAACAGTGAACGATTTTCAAGAGCATATAGGAGAAACCTGACTAAGGTTTGCTTCTTTTTATTATAAAGTACGAATATTTACATCAACATTGGTTTATAATTAACGTCAACCCGAGATTCCTCTGTCGTGTTTTTACGCC